CACGTTCCCAATCCCAGTTTTATAACGTGAAAGAATCGTAATGATGTCACCCACTGACTATCTGTGAGATATGTGTGTTGCCAACAACTGGTTTGTTTATGTGACATCACTGTTAACATAGTTTAAAACTACAAATTTATCCTGAGTGATTTATGCTTTATCATTCTCACAATCTATATTATTCTGCTGTATTTTCTCTTCTGCCCTTTCATGCTCTGTGACTATTTTACAGCTATTTCCCCCACACAGTAATTTCCCTTCCCTGTAACGTTCTACCCCCAGTTTTTTTTTCTTTCCGCAAAGCCATACTACATACTCACCGATAGTAACATACATACATTTAAAACAGTATTTAAGTGATTGACAATGAAAGTATAGTAAATATTTATAAGTTACATAAGGATAGTCTGCAGACAATAGTAATGTTAAATGGTATATATTGAGGAAAAGTAGTGTACCAAGGAGTGGACTGGGATAGGTATCAAATTAAGAAGAAAACTTGTAAATCCAGACAAGAACAAATCTCATATATTGAAACTAAAAAAAACTATTAAAATTGCCCAAAGACAAAAACCAAGGTGCTCGTGTACTGTGAAAGTACATTCACAGTACACAAGCACATTGGTATTTGCCTTTGGGCAATTTTAGTAGCAGAACACCTTCCTCCATGTCCTCCCATCGTTTAGACAAGGTTGACTATGAACACTCTTGTATTTTCATACAGAAGCGTTTGAAGGCTGCATTCAGGCATAGCAAGGTAGACTTAACTATGCCACAATGAGGCTTCTGGGATAGATGTAGGCCCAGCATGTCTGGCAAGAGGGCAGCCACCATCTTGAGTGCTCAGTACGGTGGTGATATGCCATTAATGGTCGCCTCGAAGCCCAAGGTAAGGACAGAGTAAGCAGCCCCAGTGTATCTAGTGGGGACCAAGATATCCCTTGCTGGTCCAAAGGGGGGGTGGGGTAGGAGAGCAGCAAGATGGAGATTCTGAGAGAGCGGAGATCGTCTGCCACTCCCTAGCTCTGTCCCCAGTGCGCTGCAGCAGAGTATCTCGGGGTCTCTGGTGGGTGACATGGAAGAGTTGAGTTGCAGTGTTCAAATTCAAAATTCAATTTTTTTTAAATTTTTTTTAGTATTACTGATTGACAGTGGTTCAGATTATGTAGAATTTTTGCCATCCTTGGACAGTCTGAGATCTGTAGACGTTGGCATCTCTTGGGGATCCTCCTCCAGACTGGCTCTGGGCTTTCCACCTAGATCAAGCCTAATAAATTCTCGCTCATTTACTGCAATACTTCCAGGCAACCTATAGGTATTTTATCTTTCTTCCTGATGTATGAATACATTAAAGTTCTCAGAGCAGGTGCTTACCTGCAGGTAATATATTAAAATAGATCAGCAAGCAAAGAGTACACAATGTCAAAAGCAGGTCATAAATCAATTTATTTCATGAAAGCTAAACACTACAGTGTTCACAGCAGAGTTTATTAAGGAAATAAGAACTTGTTAATACATAATTTACGGTATTCCTTTCTTGTGCATATGTCTCAATAAAATCATCTTTTGAGGCGCACACAGTGGTAGAATTACACACTAATGAATGGAGACATCTACTTAACTATATAAAATTGGAGAAATAGTTTAAAAAGAATTGAGGTTGCATAAACCCCCCCCCAGAAATGTTGATGTCTATATATGGAATCTCCTTTGATTCCATTGTGTTGTTGTAGAGAGGCCCATCAGAGAAATGTTGTGACAATGCGATAAAAAAATAAAAGATAAAGTAACTTTTATTTTTATTTGACACAATTTATGTCATAACCACAATATATCCATGTTCTGATAAACCTCCCCATCCGCATATTTTAGATTTCCGTCAAGGCTTCCACAGCTTATCGACCATAAGCATTCACCACATTAATGGAAAGTAGATAGTTCACTCCGTAAATTAGTCCAATATAGTTACTGAACTATTTGAATTGAGATGAGACACTGTCAAAATCTGTAAGAAATTGATAGCTAAATATAGCCATATAGATATTGTGTGCTGCCTGGACAAAGAATAATGAATACACCTGGGCAGTCTGGATAAGGGTGTCTAAGCAAGACCAAAGACAAATTTAAGTCAGGAGACCAGAAAGCAGAGAAGTTATAAACTAACATAAGAAATATAGCAAAGACCCACAGCACACCAATTTAGGCTAAAAGATAAGATATTTATTGAATACATTCAATATGTCAAACAATTAATATACAATGCAAAGTGCATGGACATAAAGTGCAAAAAAAGGCAAGTATATTCACCTACATTAATAAAGTGCAATAGGGTTACCAATTAAAAATATAAACATGTATGTAAGTGTGTCTGTGAGAATATGTGTGTGTGTCGGTCTGTCAGTGAGTGTGAGTCTGTCAGTGTGTGTCTGTCTGTCTATCAGTGTGTCAAATCAGTGAGTGTGTGTGTGTCATTGTTTGTCAGTGTATATGAGAGTGTGTGTCTGTCAATGAGTGTATGCGTCTGTCAGTCAAAGTGCGGCCTTGACAGGAAGGGGTGGGGAAAATTTAAATTGGGCGAGCACCGTCCTGCCTAGGGCAGCACAAATCCTAAATACACCACTGTTCTATTGGCATAAATTGGTGTGCAGTGGGTCTTTGCTATTCTTGTATATAGTCTTGATATGCTAACAAGACTCTTTCCACTTTAAGCACCCTGTTCTTTATTAGTGAATGTCACGGGGGTTACCAACCAAAGTAGAGCTCTCACTATAACTTTGTATGTATATAACATAAGAAATATGGCAGGTAGCAAACACTGAATGGTTAGGAATGCAGAAGTCAGGATAACAGGACAAAGTATAAAACATGAGATAAGATAAAATAATGGAGACTGGATTCTCAGTGTGTGAGGTAGTGCCTGTTAGACAGACTTGTAAAGATTCTAATCAAGTGGTCTGATATGGGAATTCAGGAAATGGTACAAGCAATGTTGGAGCATAAATGATGCCCTGAAGTCATTGTGCATGTGCACAGACCACGTTGTAATGCCAGACATGTTAATAAATGAAGCCTCAGTGGGATCCATATCGTTACATGAAACATCATCATGGAATATGAGGTAGGATAATCATAAAAATGCCAGGACCAAAACTGATTAGGTTGAGTTGCCAAGCATAGGGTGATGGCATGGCACCCAGGGATATCGAAACAGAAGCAGGCCATAGCAACCAAGCATCTATGCATAGAAAGGTAGAAATGTGTTCGTTTAGTGGCAGCCCAGACACCCTTTTTATTGCAACATAGCCACGTACCAAAGATGCCAATCCTGACATTCTTCACTGCGGTCTTGATTAAACCTACAATGTGACATCAATATCTTCTGTATAGTGCATCTGGTCTGATAGGTGTTTGCACAAAACTTCAAAGGCAAGGGCAATATTCTAATGTGTATAGGCACTATTATTCTTAAGCCTCCGTTATATCAAAAGAAAGAATATCTGAGTAATTCACTAAAATGAGAATTGTAAAGATTCAAAGTGAATTTCAAATTTAAAGCGAAAAGTCGGCTATGTGTCCCAGCTACTTTGGCCTAAAATTCTAAATTCGTTTTGATTTCTATTTTAATTCCTGACAGTTTTCCCTCTTGTAAGTAACCCTGTATATTGTAAATGCCTAAAAAAATTTTAATCTGCAACCTGTTTTGAAAATGGAAGTTTTCTGTCACGTCCGCTCCTGCCAGAGAGAGGTATGGGTCTTGGCGGGTGCGTCACATCGCAAGGGGAATGACGCCGAATACTCACCCTGTCTCTAGGTGCCTGCCGGGTCCACTCCTGCCCGGGTGCATCTAGTTGCAGCGGCATTCCCATGTAGTAATAGGTATGCTGCCGATCATTTTCCTCCTCCTGCCGTGCCTGCTGTCCACTGACAGGCACTCCTCCCGTCACACAGCGGCCGGGTCTGTAATCATTAGAGACGCCGGCTGCTGCAACTAAGAACCTTTTAAGGTTATTATTTAACCCTTTGAGTGGCTAACTTTGGGAACGTGTGGTGACGTCACACACACGTTCACTGTCACATGTTCCCCTGCAGCCAATTAAGGAGCACCTTAGGCTATTTAAACCTTTTTTCTGTGTGCCCTGTTGTGATTTCCATTCAGGTTATCCGAGAGCCCGTTTCTGGTATTGTTTCTTGTGTATTTTGACATTGGCTTTCTTACTGACTATTCTGATCTCTGTACCCCTTGAACTTTGGCTTGGTTCCCGACTATTCTGACTTCTATACTCCTTGACCTTTGGCTTACATACCATTTACGTAAAGTTTCCCCCTGGAACAATAAGAAAGGGGGAGCATGACTGCTGCCCAAGATTGTGGGCTGGGTTAAGGTAGATACATTTGTGTCTAAAGTTGTGGTTCTTAAGGAAAGGGAGAGGGAGGGGACTTACCAGTCAGCAGGATCAGTTAGGGCTCCTGACTTTTTTTTGTCCCTGTAAGACTAACATCACAATTAGTATTTTTCACTTCCTTTATTGACTGTACTGTGCTCACTTCCCTGTTTCCTGCTGACTTCTGCTAGTCACCATACCTGTTTCTGACGATTTTGATGGTCATGGAGGCCTCTGGAGCTGAGTTGCAGAGGCTTCTGCAGGTGTACCTTGAGGTGCACAGACAGGGAGCCCTGGGAGAGCCCTGGGAGAGCTGATGTCGGGAGTCCGTAGTGTCACCCATGCTGAGACGTCCGGTCAGCCTGCAGCCCAAGATGGACGGAGGGCCAGGAGATCAAGGCCTCCATCGCGTCTTTCTCCAAGTCCTGTTCGGTGCCAGAGAAGGGGGAGAAGTGGAGGCTCGGCCTCGCAACAGGATCGGCTTGCGGTACCCGGGAGGAGGAGGATCCATTCGGATGATGGCGACGGTGTCCAGGCCCAAGATGGCAGCGGACTCCAGGGAGAAGAAAGGGTGGGAAGATCACGCTCCCAGCGTGCTTCTCTTCCTGGCCCACACGGATGTCGCATCGGCACGCCGGGAACCACGAGAAGAGCACCCAGGAGGGCACCCGGAAGGAGGAGAGGACACAGGTGTGCAAGCTTCAGCACTCTGGAAAGCAGATTGTGGTCTGTCATCAGGGTCCAGTTCCTGTTCGGAGGAAGGTGATGCCCAGCATCCTCAGCCGGCCAGCAGTAAGTGTTGCTTGGGATGCGCTAGCTGGGGATAGCGTAGGCAGTGGCGTACTAAGGGGGGGGGCGGAGGGGGCAGTCCGCCCCAGGTGCCAGCCAGGTGGGGGTGCCATGACCAGCCCCGCCGCCCCCCCCCCCATGCTGCAGCCGCCCGAGCGCTCTGTAGAGAGCCTCGGGCGGCTGCAGCATTGCCCGGGCGGTGCGTCCATGAGGGCGGACCGCACCGCCCGGGCGCAGCCTGAGAAAGGGGGCTGACAGGAGGGAAACGCTCAGCGCTCCCTCCTGTCAGCTTCCTTTGCTGTAGCGTGGCCGAGCCCTGCAGCATTGATAGTCCGCGGGTACAGAGAGCAGCTGTCTCCTGTACCCGGCCGGACTAACAGGAACTGCACTCAGTGTGCACTTCCTGTTAGTCCGGCCGGGTACAGGAGACAGCTGCTCTCTGTACCCGCTGACTATACTGGCCTCGGCCACGCTACAGCAAAGGAAAAAAGGGAGGGGGGTGGAAAGAGGAGAAAGGGGGTGAGGAAAAAGGAGGGGGGGGGTGGAAAGAGAGAAAGGGGGGTGAAAGAGGAGAAAAGCAAGTGAAAAAGGAGGGGGGGGTGAAAAGAGGAGAAAGGGGAAAGGAGGGGTGAAAAGAGGAGAGAGGGGGTGAAAAGGAGAAAGGGGGGGGTGAGAGAGGAAAAAGGTGAGAAATGGGGTGAGAAAGGAGGGGGGGTGAGAAAGAGGAGAAGGCTGGGGTGAGAAAGAGAAAGGAGGGGGGGAGAAAAGAGGAGCCTACAAATTAGAAGGGGAAGAGAAATTAGAGGGAGGGAAGAGAAATTAGGAGGGGAGAGAAATTAGGAGGGGGGAAGAGAAATTAGGAGGGAGGGAGAGATATTAGGAGGGAGGGAGAGATATTAGGAGGGGGAAAGAGAAATTAGGGGGGGAGAGAAATAGAAATTAGGGGGGGAGAGAAATTGAAATTAGGAGGGGGGGTAGAGAAATTAGGAGGGGGGAAGAGATATTAGGAGGGGGGAAAGAGAAATTAGGAGGGGGGGTGAGAAAGAGAAATTGGGAGGAGGAGAAGGAAATTGGAGCGGGAGGAGAGATTGACATTCATCACATACACACAATGCACCCCTTGCACACAGAGAAACACACAATGCATTACACACACAGACACACATACACAAGCAATGCAACCGTTACACACAATGCATTCATTACACACACTCAATGCACCCCTTACACACATTCAATGTATCCCATACATACACAGAAACACACCTTGCAGCCCTTACACATACAAACACAATTTCACACAATGCATTCCTTACACACATATCAGGACATCCCCTACACACTCCACCCCCTGTGAACAAACTCATTGGTGGAACATGAAGGTGGATCCTGGGACCCAGACCTTGAGCTGTGTAAAGGGCCCCCAAAAAATGGAGCTGCTTCCCGTTCTCCCAGAACATTGATTTTTTGACCACAGTTACAAACCTCCTCCAGAGAGCCTGTTCTACACCAGACCAGTGGAGCCAGACTGCAACTAGAGCCCATCATCATCCTCATCTGGTTGTAAGTAGGCAATCTAGTATATTATTCGTGGCACTAAGCTCTAATTTACCTCACATTAAAGAAACACTATAGTTCCCAGAACCACTTCAGCTTAATGTAGTGGTTCTGGTGTCTATAGCCTGTCCTTGCAGGCCTTTTAATGTAAACACGGCGGCACTGCAGCACTGGCGTTAGTTAACATGGCAAATCATATGGGTGGGGCATTGTGATGTCACATGGGGGGGGGGAACGGCAAACTTTACTTTTGCCTAGGGCGGCAAAAATCCTTGCACCGGCCCTGGCTGGAGGGGGCTGTGTGAGCTGTGGCCGCTCAGTGTCCCATGGTAGTTAGGGTGCCGTACAGCTCACACAAGCAAACAGCTGATAAACTGGCTGCATGGAGGAAATGTGTATGTGTGACTGTCTGCCTGTGACTGTATGTGACTGTCTGTCTGTAACTGAGAGTGTGACTGTCTGCCTGTAAATGTGTGTGTGGGGCTGCAGGGATTTTGTAGAAGGGGGCGGGGGTTTTGTATTGGGACAGGAGTCTTTACAAATTGTAAGAAAAAAAAAGAGAACCTTTAAATTTTTTTACAGGTTTTTTTTTTTTTGTGGGAGGGGGGGTGCCAAGCACAGGATCCGCCCCGGGTGCCAAATGCTCTAGGTACGCCCCTGAGCGTAGGTAATGGGTTAATGGGTCAGGAAGTGCTGGAGTTACTTAGGCTCTCAGGGAGGGGCCCCTTGGTGTCTCCAGTATCAGTTACTCTCCTTGCACAGGCCCATGACCAGGATAGGGGTCAGTTGAATGCCCAGTCAGGTAGGGAGCAGGGGTGCTTGCCAGGTTGTGAGCTGTCCCCACTGGGGATGCATGTGGCGCTGGACTTTAAAGAAAAAATTATCAAGGGTGAATACGTGGATTTACTGTCCCTGGTCCCCCCGGACCGGGAGTCAGTGGATAGACCACGGCGGGGGGATTCGGCGGACGGCGACAGAGGTAAGCAGCTGCCACATACGTTTGGGAACTGGCTTCAAGGGCTCTCCATATTCGCCAGTGTGCTGACACGGGCCTTTCCTGAGAAGGAACCTGGTTATTTGGGTATTTAGACTTTATATGGGGGGCGTACAAGGTTTATGGGGGACAATGTTGGTTTCGTTATGACCAACAATTAGGCCAGAAGATGGCAGAGTGTTCAGGTATGGACTTTGGGGTCCAGGACGGGAGCCTTTGGCTCTTGCTGATGACCCCCAGTCGTCCGTCCCCCTTTCCGGGTGCAGCCAGCGCACCGTCCAGTGCGCCGGCCGGGCAGCGCAAGGGAGTCTGCTGGCTCTACAGTGAGAGCCATTGCAAGTGGTTTGGATCATGCCGATTCAAGCATGAGTGCTCTCATTGTGGAGGGGCCCACCCTGCGCTGCGATGCTTCAAGAAGGGCAAGCAAGGCGGAAGACCCAATAGGGAGGATCTCCCTAGAGCTGAGGACGCAGGTGAGCACGCTAAGGATGCGCCCTTGGCTCAACTGGTATCCCAAGCGTAAGGATACAGGGTTTTGGATTCCGTTTGTTTATTTGGATTCCCCTTTGTTGGCGGACAACCTGGGTTCGGTTGTGGGAAAAGAGGCTATGCTAGGGGATAAGTTGAGGAAGGAAGTTTGTTTGGGCAGGATGGCCGGTCCATTTGACATGCTGCCATTTCCCAATTTGTGGGTATCCTGCACGGAGCTGATGGCGAGGAGCCGGCTGTCGAGGCTCATGGCACAGAATTTGGGAGAACTGCCTGTTGGGAAACATCCAACAGCTGGCAGAGTTGGACTGAGTTAAAATTGTTATATTAAATAAAGCTGTGGCCGTTGCCATTATCCACAAGAATGAGGTGTAACGTGTATTATTGGGGGGCAACGGGTTTTGGTCGGGGACTGGTTGGGTCAGCAGTCATATCTGTATTCTTGACCTCAGCCTGTCTGGTACTTTTTCTTTTTATATGTTAAATCCGGCCGTTCTAAGGCCCGGTAATAAGCCTTAGGGTTTTCTTTATTTTTACTTAAATTCTGCATGTTGGGCATATTAGTGTATTCTGACATTTTCATTCCATTGTTGTTGTTTTTTGCTATTTTTAATCCCTTTGTATTGTTTAAAAAAAAAAAACTCCTGATATCTATCTATCTATCCTGTTTTAGCGTGGATCAAATATTATAAAATCTAGCTGGTCATCTATCTAGCATCCAGAAGGTTAAATTAGTGGTATAAAAATCCAGGCCAGCTCAGATAAGTCTCTTTACATAGTTCTGAGCGTTGCTGCACTACGCATGTGATAAATTTAGTTCTGGTCTTGGTACATGAACCATTTATTTGTGTAAAGTGCAATGTTTTCATGTACACTGAGTACCTATCATAACTCTGCATTCTCCAAACATATGTCTTCAACAACCAGCCTTTACATGAAGCCAGTCTTTAGCACATTGCTCACCGGACCACATGTCTATATCGAGACTTGAGTAAATATTAAACTTGAAATAACATGGGTGGCTGAGTTGGCAGTAAAATATATGTGACCCATTTCTGGGATTGTGGATTAGAAAATGAAGGTTACTCAGTGACTTCTTTCACAGGACTGTGCTAATTTAAGGTATAATCATTTACAGACATTTAAGAATGTGCCCCGGAGAATTTATATTTCATTTTATTTATTTATGTGCATCCTTGCAGTCAACAACATGCTGTTTCTACTGTTAAATATTTAATAATGTAATAAGATAATGTTGGGGAATGAGAGTTTCATACTTATTCACTAAATGGTATGTTGCGGAGAGTTTACAACAAACCTGGAAATTTAAGGCAATAGTAAGAAATTTGAGGGGAAAAAATCCAACTTTGCCTTTCTTTTTTTTTTTTCTATCTTTTTTTTTTGCAAATTGGCTAGCAAAATTGACCTGGGCTTTATTTACTAAAATATAGGCCCAGAAAATGCAACTTGTAAAAATTCACCAACTTTCCTAGTAATAACTTTTTCTATGTTTGTCTAAAAATTTCTCATTGTGATTTCAATTAGAACCAGAACAAAGTGAATAAACTCCCTCTAGCCATTTAGTAAATAAGCCCCACAGTCCTATATAACAGTGGAATCATCCATGAATATGAAATAGAATAAAGTTTATTTCTTTGCATGGTTTCAACCTTTAGCATTAATAATTTATATTCAACTGTATTTGTATTTGCCTCTTGGCGTGAGATTAAAAGGGCAGTTTTAGCCACTGCTGTTTAAATTGGGTTAGGTCATTTAAAATTAAATTGGCTTGATTTTATCATAGAGGATTGCTTCAAGGACAAGTTTGGACATGTACAATCGCCCCTATTCCATTTTAAAATCCAGTACAATCCCATGTCTATGTCCTTTAATTCTGCGCCAGCAATGAACGCATGGCAATTTCTGGGCGTATGGTTACAGGAGGCCGTGTAGAATACCACGT